GTGCCCTCGCCAAAGGAAATTTAATGTGAGCCACACAAGTAGTAATTTTAAATTTTCTAGAAGCCCCATTTTTTAAAAACAGGTACAATTATGTTTTATGTAACCCAATATAGCCAAAACATTTAATTCAATACATAGTGTAAAACATTATTGAGATATTGTACATTCTTTTTTCATACTAAGCTTTCAATATTCAGTGTGTGTCTGACACCTACAGCACAGTCACCTTGGGCTAGCCATGGCTCAAGGGCTCAGTTGTCACCTGTGGCCAGTGACTGCCATCTGGGACAGCACAGCTTTAGTGACCGTGTGAGTGCTTACCACATGTCAGACCCTAATGAAAGGCTTGGCATGCATCTTTTCATTCAATCCTTGCATCAGTCCTCAGAGATGCCCATTATAATAAATAAAAAAAACAAAAAACGGGAAAACCTATAGGGATTATTTAATTTACCCAAATCCACACAACTAGTATGCCACAAGAGCCCCAGTTGGACCTCAGATCCATCTGATCCCAGTGTTCTTAACAATCAGGCGTGCTGCAGGGGGAGGCAGCGAGCTCCCTGTCATGAAACTGGATGATTAGCGGATGGTTACATCTGCAAGATGTCTGGGACAGAACTGTGGGTTCCACAGGCCTGACATAAGCAGAAGTCCAAGGAAAGAGGCTGTGTGGGCAGATTATTCTCCAGCAACCCCCAAACAAATAAACATTCTGTGTCCCTGGCAAGGCACGCTTTAGTAACCCCAGTCATTTTGGCCATCAGATAGCTTCTCTAAAGAGATGAGCTGGGAGTTTCTTAGAAGCATATATCATAAGTAGTTCCTAGAATATTATTTCAAATAAGAAACAGTCACTGTGTTTACATTTTTTAAATCATCAAAAGCTTTTATTTTTAACTCGATGTTCCTGTTTAAATATATTTGTAATGATGATTGGAGGAAGGAGTTGTGTGGGGAGGAAACATCCTTGGCTCTCTAAGCCACACCCCCTTCTGAAGAGTGCCATCTCCCACGTGGCTATAATTAGCTGGGTGCCCACCTTTGACCCTTGGGAGAGTGTTTATCTGCATTCCCAGACAGCCCATAAATCCCCAGCAGTGAAGGGTCATGGGCCAGAGGAAATGGTTGTGATCATTCTTCTCATACAGACTTGCAATAAATAAGTGAGAAAAAGGATGTTTGCAGATGGTTTATTAGATTTCACCCTATTTTCAAAAATAATATTTTGGGAATTAACTTTAAGGGTTTCTTCTGTCATTTGGGAACAATGTTTTGTTTTCATTTTCCAATTTTCCTGTGTGAACATTTCCTGCTGTACCTGAGGAAGAAATTCACCATCCAGTGATACCCTGTAATGCCTTTGAAAGAACTGAGCTTAAATGCAACAACAGAACTACAGTAAAAGTGAAACTTCACACAGTGAATAGACATGTTTATAACTAAGGCAATTTCTGTTTCCTTTTTTTAGAAGGAAAGCTATATTCAATAGCACTGTTCCTACTTAACGTAAAAGTGAACAAACTTGACCGTTTGTCTTTTATGTGAAAATCTTTTTACATCATTATATAACCTGATCTTTAATTAGGAAGGGGTGGCTGATTACCATAAAGAACACATATGGAAAAATACATGGTTTTAGCACTTCCAGAGGAGTTTCCCAGTTCATAACTTTTTACTAAGCCGCTCTTCTATTCCCCCCCACCTGAAATCAGGGATCCAAGCCAATCTGTTAGTTCCTCTACCACATCCGAGGTTCTTAGACACCCATCCTCCTAGCTGCTTTGTCGGCCAGCAGCCAAAGCCTCCACAGTCCGCACAGGAGTTCTATTTTGCACTAGACTTCCAACTGTTACAGAACTTTCTCAGAGCCGGAAAGCTACCAGTTGGTCTGGATCCTAAAGTCTTATGATGTATTAAACAAGCTCAGAAGTTTAAATGTTAAAGTCAGGAAAGGGGGCTATTAGATATCATTCTTGCACCCTCTACAGTAGCAGGCCAAATGGGCAGTACTTGTGCCTCCTGCTCATCAAAAAGAAGTCTTAGTCTAAAAAAAAGAAAGTATTTAGATAAGGAACCGTATGACATACTTGTGCCTGTGTTACTGACAGTATAATCCTACTACATTGAGCATATAAAACCCAGACTTCAATTATCAAGCATTCACAAACTTTTAGGAGCCTTAGTGCAGATGTGGTAAATTTCTACAAGAGTGTTTTATTTTAAGGGATTATTATCTTTGAAGCTTCATTTTTGCATGAGTTTGTGCACTCCCTCAGGAGAAGCAGATTGTAGTACACCAGGACTGCGTTTGAAAGTCTGTCTCTTCTTTCTCTCTTTTGTAAGGACCAAAAAGCTGATAATCGATGTGATCCGGAACCAAACAGGAAATACATTGACAGAAATCTTAGAGACACCAGCAACTACACAACAGGTAATTGGTCTTTGAATGTAAAATTATAAGTACCATAGATTTGAGTTGACTTTATCAGTCTTCATGCCAAATGTTTACTGTTATCTCAGAGAAACTATATCTGACATGGCTTAGAAGTAAGAAAATCTATCTATTACCCTGGCCAACTGAATTTGGCTATATATAAAATCCATATGAAGTATCAATGAGAATGAAATAGAAAATGCAGCACCCAACTTATGCTGAACGTAGCTTGTCCTAGACTAGGAGAGTAGTTCTGGGTCTTTCAAAGCCTCTGAAGATTCATCACAAGCTTTATCAGTCAGAGGATGGGTAGATAAGTCAGTTAAGAGATAGTTCTGGTCAACAGGATATAGAAAAATACCTTTCATGCTTTATGTATTTCCTAACTTGAAGAAACAAAAGTGTCTCCCATTAAAACTGTTTTCTAAATGCATCAGAAGCAAATGTCTTGAGTCTATTGGGTCAGAGCACCATTATCCTGGTGTAACTAACTAAAGTTTCACAACAATCTTGCATTAAACTTTTCATCAACATCTTTTAAATTGTGTCATTGTTTAGTTTCTTCTGAATTAATTTCAGTGTTATTGCTTTAGTATTAATAATTGCCACATCCTAAACAAAAGTTAACAAAATTATCTAATCAGTTACTTCTTAGCAGAGCTACACATAGTTTTCCTGATTCATTCTTAATTTAATTGGTTGCTAAGAAATCATTCTGTCCCAGTTTTTTAATTTAAAAGATATAAAATAAAACCAAGTTATCTGATATTTATTAATGTGTGAATATTTTTTAAACAATGTGGGTAGAATATCCTACTAATTAAGTATGAAAATTTTAGTCCTTGTTGATATTTTATTTTTCCCCAAATGTAGCAGAAT